CGTACGTGAGCGTGCGCGGAGAATAGCGGCAGCAAGTGCTTGGGCAGGTGGGTCATAGACAAGGCCACCGGCAAAGCCCTCTGTGGCAATACGCTGAAGGACATGATCTGGAAGGTGAGATAGTTTCATATCTTTCACCGCTACTCTTCCCAGTCACCACGAAAACACCGTCTTGAGAAAGTCAAGTAACCAGAGCCAGTGTCACCATGCCCAGAGGCCGTAGGTCCGTCTGGTCGGCCGCTCGCCGGTTGCCGGCCACTCACCGCTCGTCGGCCGCTCGCCGGTTGCCGGCCACTCACCGCTCGTCGGCCGCTCGCCGCTCGTCGGGCAGCACCAAGACCACCCCCTTTTCACCTCGAACCCCCTTTCACCACCACCTCTCCCAATCTTCTACACAGGGTCAAGTGCAAACATGCGTGGGCGTGGCAGCTACAGAGCTGGGGATCCTGAAGTTGGTTCGGGGCAAGCAATGGAGGCCGGGCAAGGGAGACGTCGTGGAGGTGGCGGGGGAGGTGGCGGCGCTGGTGGCGCTGGTGGCTCTGGACTGGCTGCTCTGACTCGTCGCCCAATGATGATGCTAGTGCTGGGGATGGGGATCGGAGTGGCGTTGGCAATGATCACGTCGTCGGTGTTAAGTGTGAGCTGCGAGCCGCTTGATCATCATTTGCCGGCCACCCGCCCGCCGCTGCCGCGCAAGCTCGAGTGCCCGACAGCCAAGTGTCCGCCGCCATCGTGCCCGTCGCCATCGGGCAAGGCGCGGCCACCAGTGGCATCGCATCCGCGGCCGCCGGCAAGCCATCCAAGTCCGGTCCGCCCGCCGCTGGTGAACCCGCCGCCTGGGCCGCCGGTGGCCGAAGAGCTCAAGACGGTGTACGTGGAGCCGACGTGTCCGATCCTGGTATGCCCGACGTGTGAGGGGACGCTGCTCAAGGATCCGGTCATGACCCACCTACGACTCAATCTTGCACCGGCGCTCGAAGACGCACACATACCAGCGATCGACGATGCATGGCAATATCCGGACAAGCGCGACCTCGACGGCGCCAACTGGGGCCGCGGCGAGATTCCCATCTTCTACATCCACCGCGACCGGCCACTGGAGCTTCTGCGGTCGCTGGCATCGCTGGCGCGGGCGACGGCGGGACGAGGCTACACTGTGGTGGTCCATGACATGGCAACAACGGCGCCGCTCGGAGTGAAGCTGCTGCAGTGTCTAGAGCGCGACAACCCGGGCGGCGACTCGGACTGTATCGAGCTTGCCGACGCGGTGTGTGCATCGGCTATGGCGCCCGGTGCGCACCCCAAGACCCTGTGCGAAGAGTCTGGTAGCGAACTTCTGGCGCTGGTCTCGCTCAGCGCACCAGTGTACGTGGTGCGCGACGGCGAGGTCGATGCCGATCTTGCCGCGTTCATCAAGGACGACCCATCCAACATCGACGGCCGCGCTTCGTTTGTCCTCAACCGCGTCTCGGGCACCATCACCGAGTACATGCAGTGGGCCAAGCTCCGGGCGTGGGAAGAGTACAAGAATCCGTCGGATGTGTACGTGGTGACGGACCCAGACCTAGTCTTTGACGCTGAGACCCCGAGCAACGTCCTCTTTGTCCTTCGCCACATCCTTCTCTCACTGCCTCCCGAGGAGTGCAAGGTTGTGGCGCCGGCTCTCCGCATCGACAATCTGCCGGCCTCGTACCGGTCGGCGTACATCCAGGGCCACGAGGTCCAGTTTTGGGCCAAGGCACCCCAGACTGTCGAGATAGACTCGCTGCGAGTCGCGTACTCATACCCAGTCCTTGTCGACACCACCTTTGGCATGTACCGGGCCGACTTTGCCTTTGCCCGCCTCCAGGGCGGTGCCCGCGTCCACGCTCCGTACTGGGTCACCCATCTCGGGTGGTACGCGCCACTGGCAAAGGACAAGATGTCGCCGAACCACAAGTACTACGCTGAGCACGCCCTGCCCATCACCGAGTGGACCCGCCAGGGCGACGTTACAGACTCGGACGCGTACTACAAGTCGCTGGTGATACCCGAGTAAATAACAACTATGAATCAGCCTCGTTCATTGCCTCGTTTACTCCGACTTGGACTTGCTGCCGAACACCCGATAGTATGACATGGAGCAGATCTTCGAGTACCATGTGAGATTGAGACCCGTCATGAGGAACGACGCCGCGGTCTGGGCGTAGAAGAGGACCGGCGCGGCGGCGCGGAGCTCCGTCGCTTTTGTCGCGAGGAGGTAGACAATGTAGAGCGAGACGGCGACGCGGCCAGTAAACGTCAGCAGGATAGCCAGTCCATTGTACATGTACACTGGGTGGTCCTTGAAGCCGATGAGGCTCAGCAAGACTCTCAAGTTGATGAACGGAGTCGAGATCTCGGTCAGCGACCAGAGCATCGGCAGCCATGCGCCGACGCGATAGAAGAGAAGCAGGGCGCAGCCAGAGAGGAAGAACCCGTGATGAGCGAGCATGTCCCGAACACCAGACGTGCCCCAGTTGTAGTAGAGCTGATTGAATGTGTCATGCAGAAAGTAGCCGGCAGTAAACTGCGTGAGAAAGGCGATGTCGCCGGCGTAGGCCTCTGCCGAGTGCCACATGATGGAGCCATGGCGAGACCATCCATCGAGCACCGCATCAACAGCGTAGATCATGAGGACAACCGCATGCACACTCGACATAGTCGTGCAGGTAAACTTGTTCTTCTCCACCTTGTTCATCTTGATCCAGCTCTTTCCCAGCACTACCGACAGCAGCATATACAGCATCGTGTGGAGCGGAAACCACAGCCCGCCTGCGCTCATCGCTACCGCTCCATAGTTGCTCCAAACATCCTCAGGTGCCACACGCACAGGGTACCGCACCCACTCCATACTGCAGGTATATATTCCAGAGCGAGAGACAGAGGGGTGTCCAGCTGACGTGAATGCTCGCGGTGGTGGTGGTGGTGGTGGTGGTGGTGGTGGCACTGCTCGCTCTGCTGCCAAGACCACCAGCCGACCACCAGCCGAACACCCTACGATCACAAGCCCACCACCAGCCCACCACCAGCCGATCACCCTACGATCACAAGCCCACCACCAGCCGAACACCCTACGATCACAAGCCCACCACCAGCCCACCACCAGCCGATCACCCTACGATGACCAGCCGACCACCAGTCGACCACCCTACGATCACAAGCCCACCACCAGCCCACCACCAGCCGATCACCCTACGATCACAAGCCCACCACCAGCCGAACACCCTACGATCACAAGCCCACCACCAGCCCACCACCAGCCGATCACCCTACGATGACCAGCCGACCACCAGTCGACCACCCTACGATCACAAGCCCACCACCAGCCCACCACCAGCCGATCACCCTACGATCACAAGCCCACCACCAGCCCACCACCAGCCGATCACCCTACGATGACCAGCCGACCACCAGTCGACCACCCTACGATCACAAGCCCACCACCAGCCCACCACCAGCCGATTGCCCTACGATCACAAGCCCATCACCAGCCGATCACAAGCCCACCTCCAGCCGATCACAAGCCCACCTCCAGCCGATCACAAGCCCACCTCCAGCCGATCACAAGTCAGCGTTCAAGAACGCAACCTCTTTCCCTTGCAAACTTCGGAACAAACATCCCCCCCCCTCGCACACACCACCTGTTCCATGACAGGAGGACGGGCCAGACCGGGACGCGTCGAACGGAAGACCAGAGCCCGGCCTTTGTCACAGTCGTGGGCATAGACACAGACATAGACATTCCACCACCGCACTCGGTACCACTTTTGCACACATCCTGATTCTCTTGGTCTGGTCATGGCAGCAAGAGCGAGTTCTCCATGGCGGTCATGGACCGCTTCGTCGTCACCACCGTCGTCATCATCATCTTTGACGTCTTTGGTCATGGCTACTCGGCTGACGGGCAAGTGTAGAAGAGGGTGTACGAGTCGTGCGCTGGTGCCGTACCTGCAGCTCTCGGGAGTGATCAACGCTCACTCGGGCTGTGTCAATGCCATTGCCTTTACTCGTGACGGATCGCGGCTGATGTCCTCGGGTGATGACACGCAGCTGCACATCTGGGAGATCGATGCCGAGTTCGGATACTCGGCGCCGAAAGGTCAGTATGCCGCGTTGGACGTTCGGACGCGGACGAGGATCGAGCGTCGACGTGCACGTCGAGCCGAGATGCAGGCCGAGCGAGCTCGGTCTTCGGCGGAGGGTGCTGCCGAGGTGGCGGTGAGTGGTGGCGGCGAGGTCAGCAACAACGAATACGACTCGCTTGACGACGATGACGATGACGACGACGACCCCCTCCACCGTGGGTGTGGGAGCCACAATCACTGAGCCGCACCGATGATGGGGCGCGTGACACCCCGGTCATTGCGATTCCCACCGGCCACCGCGGCAATGTGTTCAAGGTCCTGGACCTCCCCGAGGCGTCCGAGGCGCTGGTAGTGACGGTGGCGGGCGACGGGTACGTCCGAGTGCATGCTATCGAGGCACGGGGGCAAGCGAGGGCAATGCGTCGCGCACGCTCGGACAGCATCCGATGCGGGCGCATGGCCTCTGCCGGGCGCCGGCGTGGCCGGGTTGCGTCTTTTCGTGCGGAGGGCAGGGGACGGTCATGCTGTTTGACGTCCGCGCCCGCTCGGCCGAACACATCATGTCGTTTACCTCGGGCCGGTCGATAATCAACTCGATCTCGGCCGATCCGACCGGCGGCTACTCGCTGGCTGTCTCGGGCTCGGGCCCGTTTGTCAACATCTTTGATGTGCGCATGGCCCGCGAGGCCGACGAGGCGCCGCGGCTGCGGACGCTTGTGGTGGCCGATGCAGACCCAACGGCCGAGCCGACATGCATCGAGTACAACTGGAACGGGACAAGCGTTGTTGCTACCCTCAACGACGACTACGCGTATCTGCTCGCCGACCGCGACGACACGGCTGCTGCGGTCACACTCCGTCGCTACACTGGCGCCCGCAACTCGGAGACCGTCAAAAGCATCGCCTTTCTTGGTGACCGCTCACAGTACATTGTCTCGGGCTCGGACTGTGGCAACGCCATGGTGTGGGAGACAAAGTCGGCGGAGCTCGCCTCCGTCCTCCGCCATGCTGACCGCTACGTCATCAACGCCATCGCGCCGCACCCATCGGGCTATCCGCTCCTCGCCACCGCGGGCATCGAGGACAACGTCAAGCTCTGGTGCCCGGACCTGGATCAGCCGCGGTTTACCATCGATCCTGAACTCGAGAGTGTCCTCTCGCGTAACGTTCCCAGGTCTATGAGCTCGTCATCGATGCCCTCGCTCTATGAGCAAATGTTCGAGTTCCTCTCCGCTACCGACTTTGACGTCAACCTGTTACAGACCTTGCTCGACCAGGAGGACAACGAGGACGAGGACGAGGCCGGGGTCGAGGGCGAGGCCGGGGACGAGGACGAGGTTGACGACAGCAGCTCTGGTGGCGCCGGCGGCGATGGCGCCAGCTCCGACTACTCGGAAGAGTACGTCGACCCGCGGACGTTGCCCGGGAGTGGCAGCGAGAACAGGTGAGCAGGGCAAAAGCCGGCAGAGGCCGCGCTGGGCTCACTGCGGGTTAGCGAGCCACTGCTTCTCAAAGGCAGAGCCAGCAACCATGACGTGGAAGGTTGGCAGCTGCGGCATGACGTAGCCAGGGAGGGTAATGGCCTGCAGCAGGGTGGTGGACATGTCGAGGCGGACGGGTTTGATGCCGCGGGCGACGCGCTTGTGGAAGACCTTGGCCTCAGCCTCGTCGAGCGGCGGAGTCATGCACGGCATGGCGTAGATGGCCAGCGTGGAAAAGACGTAGCTGTTGGTCGAGTCCCATGGGAGCGGCGCGCCAGTCGGCGGGTACAGCTCGGTCAGATGCGAGCCAAACGTGTCCAGCTCGCCAAAGACCTGGATAAAGTCGGTCTGGCCAAACTCCGGGTAGAGGAGCAGGACCGGGAATTGGAGCATCGAGCCGGCGGTCTTGTCGACAAAGCCGATCTGCGCAGTCTCGAGCGTGGGATCGGTCCGCTCAAAAAGTGCAGCGCCAAGGACCACGCCGCGGGTCGCCAGCTCAGCATCGATCTCAGCGCGCTCGGCAGCAGCCTTGGCCTCACGCTCGGCGCGCTCGGCGGCCGCCTTGGCCTCGCGCTCGGCCTTGGCCTTGGCGATCTTGTCGATCTTGTGGACAAGAACAGCCAGGTCCTTGGCCGCCTTGATGCCACCCGGCTCGTCCTCCGAGGCCAGCAGACCGGCCTGGCCGACGCGCAGAGCCATCTCGTAGTCGCCAAGCGCAAAGTGGGCCTTACACGAGCGGTAGAAGGCCTTGATGTTGCCCGGGTTGCACTCGAGGGCCTTGAAGCACGCCTCTGCCGTCGCCTTGTACTTGCGGAGCTTGAGTAAGCATGCCGCGCGGTTCGAGTGGTAGATCGAGTTGGCCTTGGCGTTGGACGACTCCTGCGCCAGTGCATCGTCGTACTTGTGGAGAGCCTGGATGAGCGAGTCCTTGTCGCCCTTGCGGAAGAACTCGTTGCCCTGGCTCTTCAGCTCCTCAGCGATCTCGTGCGGCGACATGCCCTCGTACTTGAGCGTTGAGAGGGCAAGCAGCGTCTCTGCCGCAGGATGAGCCGCATCGGTCGGCAGAGCCTTCATAAAGATGGGCATGTCGTCGACGTCGGGCAGCTCCGAAGCAATAGCCGCTCGCCTTGCCACCGACTCGGGGTCCATGGGAATGTTGTAACCAAAGTCATCCAAGTCCGAACCCTCCTCACCCGCATTACCACTCCCATCTGTCTGAGCCTTGCTCTCGTTGACAACTACCTCTTCCTTGCCCTTGTCGCTCATGATGATGCCCGATGGGGTGAAGTGCAAGTGGATGGATGGATGGTTCAGCCATCACACAGCTTTGCCCTCAAGCCCTCCATTCCGGCTCGTCTCGGTTGCTCTTCGGAGGGAGGCGTGACTTCCATCATAGGGATGATCGGGAGGGGGGGGGGGGGGGGGGGCTCAAAATCGGAGTTGTCAATGGGGGTATGAGGGGGGGGGGGGAGGTAGGGGGGTAGGGGAAAGGGGATAGGGGAGGGGGAAGGGGGGAGGGGGAAGAGCGTGAGGTGGTATTACCAAATGGGGGGAAAATGTAGGCTTTGTGAACACAATCAGGAGCCACTGGCTCATGTAATACATGGATGAAAGCCAGAAAGAAAGTGGGGAGTATCCCTGTTATCTATATGTTCCCCTGATGGGCTCAGAAGGAGGGGGGTAGGGGATAGGGGATAGGGGAGGGGGAAGGGGGGAGGGGGAAGAGCGTGAGGTGGTAGTACAGATAGTGGGGAAGATGTAGGCTTTGTGAGCACGATCAGGAGCACATGGCTCATGTAATACATGGATGAAAGCCAGAAAGAGAGTGGGGAGTATCCATGTTATCTATATGATCTCCTGATGGGCTCAGATGGAGGGTGGGACGGGGGGGGGGGGGGCATTGGCGGGTGACAGTAGAAGAGAGAGAGAGAGAGAGAGAGAGGGTGAGGGAGAGAACGAGTCGGATCCAATCCTGCGCGAGGCGATGACGACGAGGATGAGGGCAGCAACTAGCTTGAGCAAGGTGGCCCAAGTATTCAGCTTAGCCATTCTTCTCTCACAGGTTGTGTGTCAGCATGGCGGGTATGTTGAGATGGTGTGTCGGTGCCGGTGCTGATGGACTGGTGTGAGTGGGAGGGGATGAGGAGGGGGAGGGGTGGAGGGCGGGCGGGGGGACTCACTCGGTGATGGCGCCGTGGATACGTACAGTGGGGAAGAAGAGCAAGAAGAAGAGCAAAAAGGAGGGGAAGAAGAAGAACCAAGGGGATGGCACTGATGGTATGGCTGGTGGTATGGCTGGACGGAAGGGATCGGGCAAGGGAAAGGCGAAACAGAAGGCTCAGGCCAAGTCGGCCAAGTCGGCCAAGTCGACCAAGTCGGCCAAGTCGGCCAAGTCGGCCAAGTCGGCCAAGAAGATGACGAGGAAGGAAAAAATGGCCAAGGCGCGCGAGGCTTCCGCTGGCCCAAAATCAAAGGCCGGGAAGAAGGAGGTCACGACCAAGGCCAAATCCAAGTCCAAGTCCAAGTCCAAGTCCAAGAAGAAGAAGAAGCAGAAGCCGTCAAAGGGGCAGAGCAAGAAGAACTCAAAGTCAAACAAGTCGAATAATGCCGCAGGTCGCAGCAGCAGGTCTAACAAGGGCCAGCGGGCCGGCGCCAAGTCCAAGGCATCGACCAAGAAGCAGGAGAGCCGGGCTGGGACGGCTATTGATGACAAGCCCGCTATTACCGCTGAGAGCAGCACGCAGGCGGTGGCCCTCGATCAGCGACTGGTGATCAACGACATGGTGCCAAGCGGCAAGCCCAAGGTTTTGCGATGCGTGTACTGCCCGGACGCACGCGAGGTGCCCCTTACAGAGAGTGAGGCGCATGTGGCGAGCGCATACCACTGTGAACGAGCGGCGGCGTTTGTGCGCGATGTCGAAGTCGGCCTCTATGAGACGACGCGCCTCTCTGCCTTTGAGCTCGGATCGAGCTACGCCGGGCTCTTGGTCACGGTCTCATGCAAGGTGTGCATGGTGCGGTTCAGGCTCGAAGGCCTGTTGGCGCACGAGGCGAGTGTGACGCATCAGGCTGCAGCGCCGGCGTACCGGGCTGCGCTCGGTGCCGGAACCAAGGCCGGAAGCACGAGTTCGCCCGCTGTGGTGCGGACCCGTACCTGGGACGACATGCTCGAGGCGCCGGGCAAGGCGCCGACGCTGGAAGACATGGGCTTCTTGGCTGCGCCCGAGCCGCGAGTCGGCATGTCATTCTCGGACATCTTCTCGCCAGTGCTCGGCCAGCGGGCCAAGGGCGCTGCGGCGGCAGCAGTAGCCACGACAGCCTCGACGCCGCTCCGCCAGCCGGAGCTCGGGCTGCGGTCGGGCTCAATCTCCGAGTCGGCGTCTGGCTCCGAGTCGGCGTCCGGGACTGTTCCTGAGTCGGCCAGTGCTCTGGGCGGGGTGGTGGCTGGCGGCAAAGGCATGGCACTGGCCACATCTGCCGCGCCCGCCGAGGTCGGCGAGTTGTCGTCCGACTCGGGATTCATCGCGCTCGACATGGGCGGGAGCGGAGCATCGCCGCCTGGTACGAAAGCAGATGCGAGCGAAGACGAGTCGGGCTCCAGCGGCCCGTCGTGGTTCCGCGGGCCGTACGCGGGCGATACCGTGTCTGAGCGGCTGCATGAGGAGATCCTCGACTTTTCCATGACCATGTCGTCGACGCCGAGCGAAGACGAGATGCGTGCGGTTGTTGTCTCGCAGCTGCGGGACTTGGTGGATGTGGTGTGGGGCGGAAAAGCACAGCTTGAGGTGTTTGGCTCTGTGGCGCTCGGGCTCTGCCTCCCGACCTCGGACATCGACACGGTGGTGTTTTGCAAGGACAGCAGCGGCGAGCTTCCGCTGTACCGGCTGGGCGAGGCCATGCTTGGGTGCCCAGACTTTGAGTCTGTGCAGATCATCGACTCGGCCAAGGTGCCGATCATCAAGGCGGTGCATACCGAGACCAAGACGGCAGTTGACGTGTGTTTCAACGTGTCAGACGGCGTCGAGGCGCTGAGCATTGTCAAGGGCCAGCTCGACCAGTATCCGGCGCTCAAGCCGCTGGTCCTTGTTCTCAAATACTTTCTGGCGCAGCGTGAGCTGAACGAGGTGTATCGCGGTGGGATCGGCTCGTTTGCGCTGACTAACATGGTTGTGGCCTTTCTCCAGCACCGGCGGCCGCAGGTGACTACCTCATCGAGCCTCGGCATCCTGCTTGTAGAGTTTATGGAGATGTACGGCATGCGATACAACTACTTTACCGTTGGCATCTTTACCCAGGGCTCGGGTCGGCTGTTTGACAAGTCCAAGCATCCACACTTTCGCAATGCGCCGCGCGGACGCGTCAAGTCAGGTGAACTCTTCCGGCTCTGCATCCAGGACCCAAACAATCCGCAGAACGACGTCGGCTCCGGCTCGTACGCCATCGGCAAGATCCGGTCGGCCTTTTTGCTGGCCTTCAAGTCGCTGGTGGCGACCGACTCGTACCCTGCGTCGGGTTCGATCCTGGCCGCCATTGTGAGCGACTCGGCCAAGACCACGAGCCTGCGGCGCAACATCGCCCGGCTGTACCCGGGCACGGGCGCCAAGCTCGTCTCCCGCAAACGGATGCGGTCGTCCGACGACGAATCCGGCTCGGGCTCGGGACCTGCTCCCAAGCGCAAGCGGTTCATCAAAAAGTCGGCGCGGATGAAGCGCAAGCTCGCCCGCAAGCGCCGTGAGCTGCGGATGGGATTTGAGCCGTCGATATAAACTATGCCTGGCAAGCGATGTGGCGAGTCGGCCGAGGTGGCCAAGGTGGCGAAAGGGGAGTCGGCGAATCCGGGCCAGCGGCGGCCGGCACTCGTCGTCGTTTCACCAGTCAGCCATGAGCGGGAAGGATGTTGCGACCAAGATGAAGACACGGGTGATCCTTGGTGAAGATCGTATTCTCCATGTACGTACACACGGGAGCCACCACTTGCGCCATTGCGTGTTCTCTGTCTGGCTCTCCCTCGGCTGCTTTGGGAGCAATGAGGGGTGGAAGGGGTGGTGACCAGCCAGGATGGTTGGATTGGGGGGGAGGACGGAGGGACAAGCCGTGGGGAGGGGGAACGGGGGATGGCAGGAGGGATGGGCACGACTACGCACGAGGTAGAGTCACTTACAAATGTATGGTTTTGGTTCGGGCATGGTCGGTGTGGTGTGGCGGGTGTGGGCGGGTGTGGGCGGGTTGCGGGTGGCTGTGGTGTGGTCGGTCTGTGCGGCGCTTGGTCATGGTCATCGGCGTGGCTGATGGGGCTTGGGTGGTTTACTGATGACGACGACGATGATGGTGGTGGCAATGATGGTGACGGTCGTGGTTGTGGTTGTGGTTGTGGTTCTGGTCGTGGTCGTGGTTGTGATCGGTGATGGGGACAGGGCTCGTCGTTTGATGCGCCGACGTCGTTTGCGTCGGTCGGGGTGGAGAACGGGCTGAACGTGGAAAAGTTCACAGAGGAGGTCAAGGTCGAGGTGAATGATGTGTCGGAGGACGGCAACGACCTGGTGTTTGAGCTGTCGGGCGTCGACGCGCCGCTGGCCAACACGCTGCGGCGGATCCTGCTCTCCGAGGTGCCGACAATGGCGATCGAGATTGCCGAGTTCCGCGACAACACGTCGGTGATCCAGGATGAAGTCTTTGCCCACCGGCTCGGCCTGGTGCCGATCAAGGCCGATCCGGCGTTCTTTGAGACGCATGTCTCTGGCAACGAGCACACTCCGGAGAACACGCTCATCTTTGACCTCAATGTCAAGTGCTTCCGTGACATCAACAACGAGGTCGTCAACTCCAAGGTCTTTGCGTCTGCGCTGGTGTGGACACCGTTCGGCGAGCAGGCCGAGCGGTTTGCAGAGAACCCGCCGCAGGTTGTCCACCCGGACATTCTGCTGGCCAAGCTGGCGCCCGGACAGCGCATCGATGTGCGATGCTACGTGACCAAGGGCGTGGGCAAGGTCCACGCCAAGTGGTCGCCCGTCGCCACCGCCTCGTACCGCCTCTTGCCCGAGCCGGTCATTGTGGCGCAGCCCAAGTCCGAGGAGGCCTCCCGCATTGCACAGACGTGCCCAACCAAGGTCTTTGACATTGAGGACTCGGGCGAGCTCGTTGTCGCTCGCCCGCGCCAGTGCACCATGTGCCGCGAGTGCATCCGTCCGCCGCCCGATGCCCAGCACTCGGCCCACGGCGTGTACACCCCGGCAGTCGAGCTCCGTCGTGTCAAGACTCACTTTATCTTTTCAGTCGAGAGCACCGGCATCCTCCCGCCGGATCGCCTTGTCCGCGACGCCATCGGCGTCCTCAAGGACCGCGCTCTCTTCTACGCCGAGCTGTTCGACCAGAAGGACTTTGAGGAGCACATGGCCGCCGCTTCGCACTCGGACGGAGACGACGATGCCAGCGACGACGAGACCAAGCCCATGCTCGAGTAGTGCAATCTTGCTCGCGAGTGGCGTGTGAGAGCGGTGAGAGGAGAGAGAGAAAAAGAGTAAAGGCTGCAGGCCTCGATCCAATCCATATAACGAGCCGTGCGCCGGTCGGCTGCCGGTCGGCTGCTGCCGGTCGGCTGCCGACGGCCACACCTGACTCACTCCCCCCCCCCCCCCCCCGGGCCGAGACGTGCTGAGATGGCATTGCCCCCGCCGGCGTACAAAGCAGTAACCCAGAGCAACGACATGAACGTGGTTGTCGCGAGCGAGCCTTTGGCCACCGCCCCCACTCCTGCTGCAGCCTCGGTCGGCTCGCTCAGCTCGGTCGGCTCGGTCGGCTCGGTCGGCTCTGCCGCTGGCAGCGCATCGTCGACGAGAACATCGACTCCGCGAGACGACTTGGCGAACCTGCCCTCCACGACCATGGCCGGTATGGACGTCGACAACCGCACTCATGCTGCAACAGAGAGTGTTACACAACATATCGTCGACTCGTCTTCGGCTCGCCCTTCTTCGGCTTCTACAGCCCATGCCAGTGGTGCGCCTCTGACTGGCGACGGAGCTTCGGCGACCACCGCCGCCACCGCGCATGCTTCTCAACCTGGAAGCTCATCGGCGACGAGTGATGTCGATGGTAGAGATGGGCCAGACAAGGGCAAGGAGAGCGCGATTGGTTTGCCGGTGGCCAAGGGTCTGCGTCCTGTGAGGGCGTCGAACGTCCCGGAGCGGATCGTACGTTGGGTGGGTGGGGAGAGAGAGCGAGAGAGAGAGTGTGTGTGTGTGTGTATGTGTGTGTGTGTGTGACTTGGTTCGAGCTGCCCGGCGAACAAGGTGCGGCAGGGCATTGTGTGGTGGCTTCCGCTGAAGACTCATGGATGGATGGGTGGGGTGATGGATGGTGGTAGCTGTTTCTTGTGGATGCGCACTCGGAGATGGACGGGATGGAGTTTGTGTCAAAGCAGGCGTCTACAACCAACCAAGAGTCGTACATGACGCGGCTTGATTGCGCCAAGCGGGTGATCTCCAACTTTGTGGTGGCCAAGGCCGGGCTCTCGCCGCTGCACCAGTTTGGACTCGGCATCCTGACCGAGACCGCGCAGCTGCACACGCCGTTCACCTCGGACGTGCAGGCCTTCCACAATGCGCTCTCGGCGGTCCGCACGCTGGGCAACTTTCGCTCTCTTGACATCGGTTCTGTCTTTGCGCTCGCCGCCTCGCTCGGCCTCCTTGACGACGCCGACGACCTGGCGGCGCAGACGCCCGACTCGCCCGACCCGCCACACGTCCTCCGAGTGATCCTCGTCTACGCGCGCTCGGCCATTGTCCCCCACGTCTCGCCCGAGCACGCAGCGCTGCGGACGGCGCTCCTTGCGCATCCGCACTTTTTCCACGACGTTCTTTACCTCCATGAGAAGCCATCGGCCGAGAACGACCCGCAGAGCGTATTCAACTTTCTTACCTCTGTCGAAGTCGCCTCACCCGAGTCGTATTTTCTGGAGGACTCGACCAACTTTCGCCGCCTCGTTCTCCACACCACCATGCTCGTCGCCCATCCGCTGCAGCGGCAGCCGTACACCGAGCTTGTCCCATTTGCGCCCAAAAAGAAGCGCAAGGGCCACTGAGCACCGCATGACGGCGCGCCTCACACGCCGGCCGCCTTGGCCGGCACGTACGACTCGTAACAGGCAAAGGCCTTCTCCTCGTGAACTCGCTGGGCGGCCTCGGTCAGCTCGCCGATCAGCACCGCAGGGTTTCCACCGTAGATGGAAAACGGCGGGATGACCGCGTCCTCGGGCACCACCGCACCGGGCAGGATCTCGCAGCAGTCGAGAATGACTGCACGCTTGGAGACGATGGCGCCCTCGCCGATGATGACATGCGAGCCGATAGAGGCTGCCTCTACCACAGCATCCTTGCCCACATACACACAGTCGCCGAGCGAGAGCTGAAAGTAGTTGAGACCCTTGGGCAGAGCCTTGTACGCCGGGCGAAGGACGACCCGATCCGAAATGACACAGTATCGTCCGATGCGAACCGCCGCAAGATCGCCACGGATGATCGAGCCCGGGAGGACCAGCGACTTGCCATTAAGGATGATGTTTTGCGAGCCACAGAGGACCGACGCTCTCGAGACCTTGTTGCCTGACGCCGTCTCGATCCACTCTTCCGGGTTGTACTCGACCACCTCCATGCTTATGCCCTCCCTCTCACTATCTCGGCGTAGCGTGCTCCTCCCGTCCGAGTTTACCTCGCGTAGCGGGGTGTGGCCGCCTTTGAGCGCAAGGGGTGAGGGGTGGGGTCTCTGTGGCGCTGCCCGGGGATAGCGAGGGTCGGACTCGGGCAAAGACACGCTGGTAACCGGTGTGAGCTCGCTCAGGGCATGGACCAAGGACAGGAGCTAGTTTTCGGTGAGAGTCACACACTTGACGCTGCAACACTATACGTGCATAGACGGGAATGGCAAGCGAGAAGCTGCATCGCGAAGTGGTGTGGAACACGGCGCAGAGCGTGGACGAGGCCGCCGGTGGTAGGGTGCTGGTGAGTGGCGAGACGGTGGCGATGGACAAGGAGCTGATGGAGGAGTTGGGCGTGAGCCATGTGCTTCGTGTCGGCAGCTTTCTGGATGCACACTTTGCGGACGACTTTGTCTACTCTGAGCCCATAGAGGTACTCGACATGCCAGACGTTCCCATCATCAATCACTTTGATTACGGCGTGAGCTTTGTGGCCGATGCGCTCGCCTCGGATCCCACCGCCCGAGTCCTTGTCCACTGCCAGCACGGACAGTCGCGATCGGTCACGCTTCTCGCTGCCTTTCTCATGACGAAGCATGGGATGGAGGTCGAGGCTGCACTCGCCGCCATCACCCGCGCCCGTCCAGTTGCCGAGCCCAACGAGGGCTTTGTCCTCCAGCTCAAGCTCTACGCCGCGCTCGGATGCACTACCGATCACCCGGTGGGAAGCCCGGGTGCTGCCCTGCTAGACGTGTTCTACGCTGGCCAAGGCGAGTTTGCGTACGTGCCTCAGTGGAAGCGGTACACTTGAGCGAGGCTTTACGGCTGGCTAAGCTGCAGGATGCGGAGGTAAACGTCGGTGGCGGTGAGATCAACCATTGCAACGGTCTCGTCGATGTCGTGGCCGCCCTCGACCACGCCCCAGACGCCAGTCTGGAACTCCTCCTCGAGCCGGGACAGGGCCAGCGTCTGCTCGGGGCTCAGATGGCCCTCGGTGAGGGCGAGCGAGAGTGTGACGGAGCGAGTCGATGCGGCGATGCGGTCAAAGCCGACGAGCTGCCAGTCGTCGAGGGCATCAAGGTACTTCCGCAGCGCCTCGGCCGACTGCGCTGGATGGCTCGGCATGAGGCCGTCTGTAACATCGAGGACCACGCCGTGGTTCTGGCCGACCCACTCGACAACCGGGTCCCACTTCTTGTGCTGCAGGGCGGCGAGCGATCCCGGGTTATGGTTGCGGAACGCGAGCGAGTCGGAGGCGAGGTACTTGACGAGGTTGTTGGTGACCTTGTCGCGGACCTCGGGATAGCGATCGAGGACGGTTGATGCAAACTTGGTCAGCGGCATGAAGAGCGGCTCGATGTGGGTCCGCTGCGCATCCCACTCTTGTGCCACAGCGACAGCCAGGGCCTCGGACGGCAGAACGAGCGGAGCGCGCATCGGAGTCTTCACCACCCGTCCATCAACCGTCACCGCAAACGATCCCTCGTCCTTCTCCTCCACGCCCACCTCTTTGTAGAATCGCTTCACGTCGGCCCGCACCGGTGCTGCCCCCCTCCACACACCCCGACATCACCAGCTGCAGTGAGTCTGATCGTTCCCCTCGCATCGACGATTGCCATCAGCCGCGAGCATGCTATACTCCACAATCTCACTATACCCACCACGACTGTTGCACGCCATCGCCCCCTTTGCGCCCAGCCCGCCCATCGTGGTTCAGCCCGACGACGACGACGACCACCGCCACCACCACCACCACTGCCACCGCCACCCTGCTCACATACCCGACATCATCCGCACCCCATTCACAGCCACACCCATGTTGCCCATGCACAATGCCCTCCACCGCAGCATGGTTTTAGTTTGAACGCGTCAAGTGTGCTCTCCTCTGCTCCATTTGAGCAACTGTCTCGGCCCTGCCGTGTCGTCCTCATCGTCCTTGTCCGGCAGACATATCTCCCGGGATGTAGCCATCATCCTCACCTACAAGCCAGAGACTAGCTTGATTGCATGTCTCCCGCCGCCACCACCACTATATACAGTACATAGCGGCAAATCATCCGAGCATCCTCCACAATCCGTCATCGCCATCCCGCGATGGGCCACCCCCTCCCGCCCTCTTGCCTCCCCTACCCCGACGCCCTGCTTGGCCACGCCCTGACCACTGTCTCTGTCAACAACTGGTCATCAGTCACAACCACCGCACGTGCCACACTCTGTACCCACTTGCCACTCATTCCATCCTCCGATCCATCTCACCATTGCCCCGATCATGCCGCCAATGATAACCTTCCCCCGCCCTTGCCACACGCAGCTCTCCCCCTGGCTCGTTGCCAATCCATCCATCCCATCCTCTGACTCGGTCTCGTCGTCGACCTCCTCACGGTCACACACTCATCGCTCATCATGCCACGCAAGCGGAAGAGGACAGCAGCCAAGCTTGCTGAGCGGGAAGACCGCAAGGCTGAGGGGGATACTGGAGCTAAAGGAGGTGAGGCTGTGTCGAGTGGCGCGAGCAAGGAGATGGTGGGGACAGCAGTGACGGAGACTCGGGCAGAGGCGACGACAATGGGTGGCGGTGATGTTGATGAGGATGTGCGGCCGATGAAAAAGGCAAAGACCAAGAGCGAGCTGGAGAAAGAGCGCCGGGCGCTGGAAGCTCGGGCAGAGCGGGAGAAGGCCAAGAGGGAGGGCGGCGATGACGACGATTGGGTGGCCAGCTTTGCGCGGGCGGCCAACTCGCGGTCCAAGCGGAGCGAGCGCAAAGAGCGGCTGCGGGAAAAGTGGAACGAGAAGAAGCGGCAGAGGTCGGAGGCCGAGCTTGCGTATCTCGCCGAGCTCCGCGAGCAGCGGGCGGAGCGCAAGGCTCGTCGGCGCGAGGCCAAGGCCAAGATCAAGTACGTCGACTCCAAGGCGTCAACGCTCTCGCTCATTGACTCGGTGCTCGGCAAGACGACGAGTGATCTGAAGGCCCGCAAGCGCGAGGCTGCCGAACGCGAGCGGTGGAAGGCTGCTGACGAGAAGCGGCGGAAGGAGGCGCGCGAGCGGAAGAAGCTGCTGAAGGACTCGATCAACACGGTCCTCGTCTCCGAGGCCAAGAGCCGGAAACGTGCTAAGAAGGGCGGCCGCCGGTGAGCTGTAGTTCTTACTCTACTCTCAAAAGTACTGCTTGGCAAGCTCGCGGACGCGGGTGGGCGCGGCGCAGGCCGGGCACGGTGTCACGGCCTGACCAAGCGTGGCGACCCAGCACGCGTGGCAGCCGACGTGGCCGCACGGCGCACGGAACGGGGTATTGGGCGCCGCGCCGCACACGACGCACGAGTCGCAGCCCCGACGCGGCTTCTTGGCCGGCGATGCATGCGGCGAGAGCGCCGGTGAGCGCGGGCGCTTCTTTGGCTCGTCCGGCGAGGCGAGGAGGTGGGCGTGAACGCGCTGCAAATACTCGGCCTGGTGGTTGAGTGGGATGAAGGTGGCAAAGGTCGAGAGCAGGGCCTTGCGGCCTGGGACGGCAAACATGGGCCAGACGGCGTCGATGAGGGCGATGACGCCGGCGTGCGACTTGTCCCGGGCAAAGGCGCGAAGCGCGCTCTTCATCGCCTTGTACTCGGCCTTGGAGAGGAGGCTCCTTGCGAGCGAGATAAAGTCCTGAGACTGCTGCTCGCGCTGCGCCGCCGCCGGCTCGGCCGCCATCAGCGACGCCGAGAGAGAGCTGCTGGTTTTGCGCGGGTGGACGAGCTCTTTCGAAGGCGGGTTGCGCGGCCCGCCAGCTGCTGCAGCGGCGGCGGCGGCTGCCGCGTTCCTCTTGCGAGCCATGAGCTTTTCGACGACCGAGACAGCTGGTGACGCCGCGGAGGTCTCACTCGGCCGATACGAGGCGAGCGAGGCGCGGAGGAGGCCTGGCTGGTGGGCCTGCGTCGCCGGCCCCGCGGCGGCAGCGGAGGCGGCCGAGATGGCCTGGGCGAGCGGGATGGTGGCCGCGGCGACGGCTGGGACGGTAGCTGGTGGTGGGGTAAAGTGCATGGCGGCGTACGGAGCCTTGCGGCGCGAGACGCCCGGAAGGGTCTTGTCGGGCGCCGGCGGGGCCGACTGTGCCAGCGACGAGCGCGGCGCGTCGAGGGCAAGGGCACGGGCGGGGCGGCCGGAACGGTCCGACTTTGCCGGGCGGGCGGCGCGGGCGGCGGAGATTTCAAAGAACGGCTGGGTCTTGACGTAGCGGAAGAACTGGGTGAGGCCGCGGGTGGCCTCGCCAAACGAGGCGAAGACCTGGGTGTATGCGCGGAGCCATAGTGGGAGCTGGTTGAGATTGTCGCGGCGAGCAAAGCGCTCGTCACAGAGCAGGATGGCGCCGTAGTCGTCTTTGTGGCGGATGACGCGGCCGATGGCCTGATTCACCGCCCGCGACGCCTGCTGCGAGTACCAGTCGCCGCCGGAGAGCTTGCCCTCGCCGCGGCGCATCTTCTCATCAAGAAACTTGCGCTTGAGCTTGACCTTGGGATCGTAGGTGTTGGGGTAAGGGAGGCCGGTGACGACGACGGCGCGGCCGTTGGCGTCGGCAAAGTCAAGACCCTCGGAGACCTTGCCGCGGCAGACAGCAAAGAAGATGGCGCCAGCGCCCGAGGCCGCACCGGAGCGGCCCGAGACGGAGCGGACGGCGGCGTAGAACTCGTCGATCTGGGCGTTGAGGTCACCCGAGCCGCGCGGCTCGACAAACGGCGTCTTGTGCCGCGAGATGGTCTCCCACATCGACGAGCTCGCGTTGGGCATTCGCTGCTGCCACACATCCATGCACTGGAGCATGACCGAGTACGAGGGAAAGAAGACAAGGACGCCCGACGGGACGATGCGCGCCACGTTGGCGATGGTGGCGCCGAGGTCGTTGATGTACGACACGTTCGACCGGTTGTTGTACGACGAGTTGAGAACGTGACCGGAAGGGCCTTTGCGGAGGACGGCGACCCAAACCTGAGCAGCCGAGATGACGTGCGGGTTCTCGAGCGTCACCTGGAACGGGGTCTTCATCTCTTGCGCAAACGATGAGAGCGGGGTGAGCGTTCCTGAAGTGAGAATGATGTTGCGGACAGAGCAGGCAACAAGGTCCTGGACGGCGACGCCTGGTGAGAAGCACCAGAAGCCGACGATGCGGCCGGGCTTGTCGGACGATGCGCTAGCACCGCCGCCGCCATCGGATGGCCCGCCAAACGACGGCCGCGAGCCACGCCGTCCTCCGCGGCCTCCACCACCGCGAGAGGTATCCTCGGCGATGTAGACCTTAAAGTCGGCTGATGACTGGGCCGACTTGGAGAACATCTTGACGACCGACTCTTTGAACGACGAGAGTGCCGAGGTGCGGGCCGGGCCACGGCCAGCCGACGAGGCCGAAGTGATGAGCGAGACAACCTCGTCCAGCGCAGTGCAGAACTCGAGGTACGACTCTTTCTTGAGCGAGACCTTGGCCAGGAGGTCGATCATAAACTGGGTGTCTTCAACCCGGCCGGGCATGTCGGCGTACAGCCGGCGGGCAGGAGTATTGCGCTCGGCTGGCGGGAGGACGAGCGGGAGCTCAAGAATGACCGCCTCCAGCTCAAGCATGACGGTCTTGAGAATGGCGATGTCTTCGCGCGAAATAGCCGACGACAGGTCTGTGACGGCGCTGACCTGGAACAGATGCAGAGCGTAGTCGAGCTCGCCGACGCAGGCACCGAGGTCAAAGGTGCGGACCTCGAACGACGACGCGTCGCCAGCAGAGGCCTCCAGGTTGTGGCCCTCGTCAAAGATGACGACGGCGCCCGAGAGATCGACCTTGAGCGAGGCCCGGATGAGCGGCGAGATGAGGTAGTTGTACGGCATGAGGACCAGGTCGGCCTCAGCCTGCATTTCGCGCGAGAGAAAGTACGGGCACTTGCCCTGTGCCTTGCCGGCCTCGGCAAGCTCCTCGATGTCGAGCATCTCCTGCGCGAGCAGCGCCGCGTCGGCCGGCCCGCTCTCTTGCATGGCGTTGTGGTAAGAGCACCGCCGGGCCTCGGTCAGCTGGCGGCACATTGCGTTCTGTGCCGAGCCGCCGAGCTTGGAGACCTTCTCGTGGACGCAGAGCTGCTTCCGCGAGCCGAGCACACACACATTGGCGGTATACCCGGTGCCGCGTAGCTCGTGCACAACCTGCGAGAGCTGCGAGTGCGTCCGCGATGCGTACACAATCTTGGGCGGCGGCGCAGCCGACGGAGCCATGGCCCCAAACGCAGCGCCGAGGCCACCCAGGCCTGGCGTCGCCTCCACCGTCTGCTGCCTCGCCTTGTTCTTCTCAGCCTCTAGCCAGCCCAGGCATGCGCACAGTAGACACAGTGTCTTACCGGTGCCGGTGGGTGATTCGAGGAGCGCGTTTGACTTCTGTGGGAGGGAGGAGGGGGTGAGGTGGGGGGGGTGAGAACTGCGACCTTTTTCGGGTCATTGACAAAGGGTGGGGAGGTGGGGGGGGGGGGGGAGGGGCTGTTGATGCGAAGCAAGGGGAGGTGGAGATGGTGGAGGTGGTGGCCAAGATTAGGGTTTGAATAATGGGGGTGGTTGGGGTGGTCGGAGGTAGTGTAGGTGGACGGGTTGGTGGCGGTGTGGTGGCGGTGGTCGGGGTGGTGGCGGTGGTCGGGGTGGTGGTCAGGATGGGGAGGGGAGGCACATACGTTCTGCAAGGCCTCAATGACCTTTTCCATGTACACCAACTGACATGGGTATGCAGAGAATGGAAAGCGCACATCCACATCACGGATATTGTACGTGTTGATGGTAGACTCCGCCATACTCGGCGGGGAGGAGTGTTGTCCCGAGGTGGTGAAGAAGAGGAGGGAGGGGGGGAAGGGGAGGGGGGGCACACCCACTTTGCCGTATCAGTCAACACTCCACATCATTGATTGTATACCATGGCTGTTGAGCTGCAGGTGGAGCACTCGCTGTATCTTCGCGTGTGTGAATGCAAGGAGCTGAAGATTGCAGACAGGCGTACGTGGGCGAGGAAGGGAAGAAGAGGAGAGGAGGGGGGAGAGGGGGGGGGAGGGGGTGCGTGCTGGTTGCCTGCAACGATCGTGCTGTTCTTTGCCCCGCAACGTCGTCAGTGGTGTGCGGGCATGACGTGGTAGAGGCAACAGCAACTACGGCTACAACTACAAAGTACACAGATGCAACAAGAGGTGTGTGTGAGGAGGGAGTATGGTGCTCACGTGTGGGTGGTGTGGGTGGTGTGGGTGTAGTGACTCGGTCGTCGGATCCGTATGTGGTGGTCTCGGGCATTGGTGCCGGGCGTAACGTGCGGACCAAGACGGTGTACAAGGAGTTGAACCCGTTCTACGGTGAAGAGTATGATCTGGAGGTGGCGCCTGGCTCGAGCGAGCTGACAGTTCAGGTCTGGGATGAGGACAAGGGCAAGGATGAGATCATCGGACAGGTCAAGATCCCGTTGGCTTCGGTGGCGCACGAGCGTGTCCACGAGCAGTGGTACCCGCTCGACGACCCGTCGGCGTCCAACCAGCCATTTGTCTCGGGCGAGCTCCATCTGCGAGTCACATATCAGGAGCCGGACGACCCGATACCCGGCAAGATCTCCATCGAGGTGGTGGCTGGGCCGGGCTGGCGGCCAAGGACGCCAACGGGCTGTCGGACCCGTACGTCAAGCTCAAGTTCGCCGGAAAGAAGGTGAAGACGGGCGTGCAGGCCAAGACGCTCGACCCGATTTTTGACGAGGAGCTGGCCATCGAGTTCTCGGTTGAGGACATGGAGGCGTCAAAGCAGGTCATTGTCTCGGTTTGGGACCACGACAAGATGTCGCAGAACGACTTTATGGGCGTGGTCACGCTCTTCCTTGACGAGCTCGAGCCGGGCTACACCTACGACGAGTGGTTCACTCTCACATCGCATGTCTCGTCCTCGGCCGTCGACGGCGACGGCGACGACGACGACGCGGCAGCCATGGGCTCGGCAGCACTTGGCTCGATTCGGCTCAAGCTCCACTACAAGGAAGAGGAGATCCTGCCGCTCGAGCACTATGCGCTCTTCACCAAAGAGCTGCGCGGGCACGAGCTGGCGGCGCTGCAGGCGCTGGCGGCGGTGACCAAGGAGCGGCATGACGTGGCCTACCACCTCATCCGGTTGTACGAGGGCGAGGGCTACGACGAGACGGTCGAGCTGCTGCAAGCGCTGACTGTTGCGGAAATCGAGAGCACGCCGCAGGCGACGGTCCTCTTCCGTGGCAACTCGATTGCAACCAAGGCGCTGGACCTGTACATGCAGATGGTGGCGCTGCCTTACCTTCACGCCACGCTCGGTACCCTCATTCAGTCGATCTACTCATCGTCCGAGTCGGCCGAGGTCGACCCAACCCGGCTCGAGAGCGAAGCTGAGCTCGAGGGCAACTGGGCCCGGCTCAAGACGTACGCAGCCACGGCAGTCGACGAGATCTTTCGGTCGATCGACGCACTGCCGACGACGCTGCAGGTTGTTTTCGAGTCGATGCGCGAGGCCGTGGTGGCGAGGTTCCCGGACGATGCGGTGGCGCCGTACACTGCAGTCTCGGGCTTTCTCTTCCTCCGGCTCTTCTGTGCAGCAATTCTGGGACCGAAGCTCTTTGAGCTCGCCAAAGACCACCCGGACGCGTCGACGTCGCGGACGCTGACCCTCATTTCCAAGACGGTGCAGAACCTGGCGAACCTCGCCGAGTTTGGGCCCAAGGAACCGTACATGGCGCCGATGAACGAGTTTATCCAGGCTAACATTCCGCGGATGAAGACTTTCCTCACCCAGGCCTCGACGGTTGGCGAGGACTTTCACGCGCACGACAGCCTGTTTATCGACGCGCCGCGCGAGCGGGCGGCACTCGTCGCCCACTTTGTGCAGTCGCGGGCCGAGCTCGAGGAGTACGCTTCCGGCGCGGCGCCGGCGGACCACGCTGCAGCCCTCGCCCGCATGTTCCCCATCCTCGACGAGCTCGAGGCGAGCCGGGCCGCGGGCGTTCGCCCCCAAATCGTAAGCGCAACGTCGGGCGCATCAACGGCGGCGGCGCCGACCTCCAGCAGCAGCGCCGACGGCGCCGGCCCGTCGGCGCCGGCGGCGAGCGGCGAGCTCGACCCGACGCTCGCCAAGCTCCAGATCGAGGGTGAGGAGAGAAAGGAGAACATGCGCAAGGTGCTCGCCATTCAGGGCTCGCTCTCCAAGTGCGACTGCAAAAAGTCGCTCGCCTCGCGCGACCGCATCTTTGTACGCGAGGGCTCGATGAACAAGGTGTCCAAGGGCAAGATGCAGGCCCGTGTCTTCTTCCTCTTCTCGGATATGCTCGTGTACGGCGAGTCCAAAAAGGTCAACTCTGTGGCGTTCAAGGGCATGATCCCGGCTGCCAAGATGGTGGTCGTCGACGCCTCGGCGGCACCGGACCTTTCGCCGGAGCAATTCCGCATCATCAATCTGGTCAAGAAGAAGACCATCGACATCCACTGCGGCTCAGTTGAGGACCGCGATGCGTGGGCTCACGACTGTGCAGTCCTCTCGCGCCGCGCGCGTGGCTTCAACCCGCTCGATGAGGCCACGCAGGCGCTAGCCGACAAGATCCTCTCGCTGCCGTGCGTGGAGCACACCGCCTAACCACCAACGGACTACGTACGCCACAAAATGAACGGCACACCAGTACATAGCCAACTTGTTTTATCCTAGTTTTCAGGCGATGCTGCTCAATAGACCCGGGTCCGCCCGCGGCCAGAGCCGCGCACGCGACCACGTCCGCGGACACGTCCACGAGCCCGCGCGCCACCACGACCACGCCCGCGAGTCCGGGCGCGGACACGGGAGCGCGGTCCAGCGGATGAGTGGGAGCCTGACCGGGATCGGGAGCCTGACCGGGATCGGGAGTCCGACCGGGATCGGGAGCGCGAGTGGGAGCGCGAGCGCGAGTGCGAGCGCGAGCGGGATCGGGACCGGGATCGGGACCGGGATCGGGACCGAGGAGGAGACGCCGAGCGGTTGATGCTTTCCTGCGATCGGGCGGCAAGGCGAGCTTCGCGGCGCTCCTTGATCCGGGCACGGCGGGCGGCGCGCTCCTCGGCAGGCGAGAGCACGCCATCGCCGTTGGTGTCGCCTTCGATGTCTGCCTGGGCATGTCCGCCGGCGGTTGGTGAGGCACGCCCACGCCCACGTCCCCGGCCTCGACCGCGGCCGCGAGTGCGTCCGCGTCCCCGACCCCGGCTCCGGGCGGCGCCACGGGTGCGCGCGGCGGCGAGGGGGGGAGAGCGCGAACCCGAACGCGAGCCCGAGCCCGAGCGGGACCGGGATCGGGACCGCGAGTGCGAGCGGGACCGCGACTTTGGGTGCGTGGGAGAGTGAGACCGTGATTGGGACCGTGAGCGAGACCGCGAGTGAGACCGCGAGTGAGACCGCGAGCGAGACTGCGATTTTTGGTGCAACGGCGAGCGGGACCGCGACCGTGACCGCGACCGTGACCGCGAAAGCGAGCGGGACCGGGACTTGGGACGCTGTGGAGAGTGGGTTGGCGACCGCGACCGCGACCGAGAGCGGGACCGGGACTTGGGACGCTGCGGAGAGTGGGTTGGCGACCGCGACCGCGACCGAGAGCGGGACCGCGACCGAGAGCGGGACCGCGACCGAGAGCGAGACCGCGACCGAGAGCGGGACCGCGACCGAGAGTGGGACCGCGACCGAGAGTGGGGCTGCGAGTGGGTCCGGGGATAGGCCGGAGGCTGCTCGCGGTGAATGCGACGACGAGCGTTGGCCTCGCGACGAGCACGGTGGCCCCGGAAGGCAGCCTGGATGGAAACAGCAGCGCGCTCGCGTTCGATGCGTTCGCGCTCAGCTTGATCGCGCCTGCGGGCGGCACGATCTCGTTCTTCGATCTCGCGCTCATAGCTGCGGCGCTCACGCTCACGCTCCTCACGCTCACGCTCTTCACGCTCCTCGCGCTCACGCTCCTCGCGTGCACGGCGAGCTTCACGCTCGCGCTCGTCACGCTCGAGTGCCTCGCGGGCGCGCAGCTCGCGCTCCTCGCGCTCGTGATCACCCCGCTGCATTTCGCGCTCCGCCCGGACGTCGGCCTGAGTCTGACGTCCGTACCCACGACCACGACCACGACCACGACCACGAGAACGAGTTCCGCCACGACCACGAGCTCCGCCACGCCGCGACCGCTCGTCACGGTTGCGCGTGTCGATCCGCACCCTTGCATTGGTGTCGGACCGCGATCCCGACCGCGACCGCGACCGGGACTGCGACCGGGATCGTGACTGCGACCGCGACCGCGACCGGGATCGTGACTGCGACCGCGACCGCGACCGCGACCGCGACCGCGACTTTGGTGCAGACCGCGAACGGGAGCGGGATCGGGATCGGGATCGGGATCGGGATCGGGATCGGGATCGTGCCCGCTCGGCCCGAACGTTGTCGTACGGCTGCGACCGCCCCTCACCCAGCTTGGCAGCCTCCCACTGCGAGTGAAGAGTGGCAGTGACGCGAGCCTGCTCGTCGAGCGACTGCTTGTAGGAGAGCGACTCACTCTTGATGAGCAAGACGTTGCTCTCGGTTGTCGAGAGCGAGTTGGCAAGATCGGCCAGCCGATTCTGGACCTCGGCCATGGCTGCCGTCTGGCTCTGCTGCAGCGACGAGAGTCGCGTGTCATCCGACTTGCGCGCAATCTGCTTTTTGAGGCGGGCCAGCTCCTCGGCACGGGTCGCTCCCTCGGCCTTGATCGACGCATCCAGCTCCATCTTGGCCATGCGGAGCGCCTTGGTCGCTTGCGACGACTGTGGCGCAAGCTGGGCGACCTTGGCGTCGAGCGCAAGCAGCTGCGCCTCCATAAAGTCCTTCCACTGGGTCACCGACGAGACCGAGTCGCGTCGGACCGTGTCGATCTGGGACGAGAGCGAAGCCAGGGCGTCGGTCACCTTGTTCTCGACGGCCGCAAGCCGCTTGGTCGCACCAGCAATAGAGAGGTCAAACTGCGACTGCGCCTTGGCATAGGCGTCCGAGATTCGGTGCGTCTCCTCGTTCATGGCGCGCTTGAGCGACTCGACGGTCGATGCTGTCCGCGACTCGGCGTTGCGAACCAGCGCCTCCATCATTTCGGGCTGCTGCCCACCAGCGCCTTGACATTCTCCCAGTGCGAGGTGTGCAACGCATCCGACTGCAGTCGCGCCTTGGTCTCGGCGCGGACCAGTGCCTCCACGCCCTCAATCTGAGCGCGAGCCTCCTCCTCGACCGCAGCCACCGACGCCCGCAGCGTCTGCAGGCCCTCCAGAAACTCGGCGCGGAAGATCTTTTCCTCGTTGGCGCGGAGCAGGCTTGCCTGGTGGTTTGCGTCCTCCATCTTTCGCCAGCGCGTGTCAAAGTGAGTCCACAGCTCTTGCTCGAGCTTGGACCGGGCCGCCTGCTCGTCGTGAAGCGCAGACTCGAGCTGCGAAAAGCGGTTGGAGATAGTGGTGTTGTTGTACGCCTCGCGGTCGAGCGCCATCTTAGACTCGCTCTCTTGCGCGGCCCGGAGGACTTGCGCGTCCTGCGCCCGCGCTGCATCGGCATTTTCGACCATGGCCGACAGGTGCTTGACCGCGTCGTGGATCTTGCTCTGCAGCGTTGACTCCTTGGAGTTAACAAGGCCCTTGACCTCGTCGATGGCGAGAACAAGCGCGTCCTTCTGTGCCGCCGCCCGCCGCCGGGTGTCCTGGATCTCGATCTGCAGCGCCGAGGTGACAGCCTCGAGCTCCGAGAGCTTGTCACGGAGCGAGGCCGCCGACGCCGCAGCGGCGCTGTGGTTCTGACGCTCGCGTTCCTCAAACGAGAGCAACTGCATCTGCCCGTCCTTCGAATCGAGCGCAAGGCGCTGGACCACGTTCGCCAGCTCGTTCGACTGTGACGACGCGTCCATCTGAACTTGGACCAGCGCAGACTTGAGCGTGCGGACCTCGTCCAGGACCCGTGACATCGAGATCGAGTCCTCCTGCCGCTTGCGCTCCGAGTTCTCGTCCACCCGTGCCACTGCGGTCGCCAGCTTGGACATTTCCGACTGGTCCAGCTGCATCTGGTGCTGCAGCGAGGAGCGGAGAACCTCGCGGTCGCGCTCGAGCTGCGAGACCTTGGACAGGAGCTCAGACTGAAGCTCGGCGTCGTTGCGGGCAGCAAGCTCCATCGAGCCCAGCCGCGACCGCAGGTCGGTCATGACCGACGTTGCCACCCGCATGTCGTCGCGGAGGTTCTCAAGCTCCAGCTGGAGCGCCACTGTGTCCGGATGCGGCCGCGCTGGAAGCATCGATGGCGCGGCGCTGTTGCCTCTGCTGTTGTTGCCTCTGCTCAGCCACGCGCCCGGGCTCGCGCTCCGCTTCGGCGGCTCGCTCAGCGGCGCCAGATTCCGGAGCGGCGGATCAGGCGCCGCCAGCGCGTACGTCTCTGTGTAGCCGCCGCCAGCGCCACGGCCGGCCGAGCCGGATGGTCCGGGTCCAGGTGAGACCGAGCCGCGGCCCTGCAGTGGGAGATAGGCGGAAGGCGTTTCTGTCGAGTCTGCTGCTGGCGAGCGCATCTCTGCCGCCAGCTGAGCAGCAAGGAGCGCCTGGCGCGAGGCAGCAGGCGATCCGGCGGTCACGGCCGCCGACGACCCTCCGGCCAAGCCAGGCGATCTGGCCAGCTGAGCTACCTGCTGTTGCCTCAGCCGCCTTGCTTCATCCCTCCTCGCTTCAATCCGTTCCCGTCGTGTCTGTTCCAGCGCAAGTCCCTCTGCGCCCCAGTTGGGCCCAGACTATTGTTCCGTGACAAACGTTCCATGGTTGTGGTTGCAGCCAACGGACGGCCGTTGGCGGCGCGGGCGGGGGGGAGGGTGGCAAGGTGGGGGAGGGGTAGGGGGGGGGTTAGTGGAGAGAAGGGGGGGGGGCGGAGCAGTGGGTAGGGGGGGGGGGAGGCCCGTACCATGGCGTGTTGAGTGGAAGTGGGGGAGGTAGGGGGGAGGGAGAGGTGGCGGTGGGCGTGGGTGAGGGAGGTGGGTTGATCGTGATCGTGATCGTGATCGCGATCGCCATTGAGTTCGCGGCTGTTGTCGTGATGGCGACTGTGGTGAGGAAGAGAGTCGGGATCAGGTCGGACAGAGCGAGTAGGTGCAAGAGAAAGGGGGATCGGGGTACACTCCACGCAGCGACAAGTTCAATGATGGGAGAACAAATCGCGCGGAGCGGGTAGGACACAGGAACTGTTCAGCACGTCCTGCCGAGGTAAAGTTAATTACGACGAGTACGAGGCCGAGGCCGACGTCGATCCAGTGGCAGAGCCGGTGGCCGAGCCGGTGGCAGAGCCTGTGGCCGAACCAGTCGAGGTGGCGTCAGACGAGTTGTCGAGCGAGGTGAGGGCGGCCTCGTCGTCCGAGTAGGCGCTGGAGTAGTTGGCGCCGGCGGCGGCGGCGCCAAAGGCGGGGCGGCAGCCTTGTCGCTGCTGGAGAGAGCATTGGAGGAGAAGCGCTTCTGGCCCATGACGTACGAGACGGAGAGCATGTCGTAGAGGAGGCCGAGGAAGAAGGCGGCAGCGATCATGAGGCGGACGCCGGCGTGGGCGGTCTCGCAGACGTTGACGTCGATGTCAACGACGATGCGGTCAATAAAGTTGCACTGGACAATGGGCTGGATGTCCTCGTCGATGATGACGGTGAGGATGTCGGCGTCGGCGGTGGTGTCGTTGTAGCGGTCGGCGAGCTGCTGCTCCGACGAGATAGCGCAGAGCGAGGCGCACTGGACAAAGGTGATGGGCCCCGTGTTGCCATCGGTGCGGGTAGTGGTGATGGTGGAGGCGCGGTAGGAGTTGACGTTGTCCGAGTTGCAGGTGGCTGGCTGTGCAGAGCAGTCTGTGTTGCCCTGTCCGCACAGCGAGGAGACAGCCTGGCAGGCAGCGGTACGGGCCTCGGCGATACCATCACGGGCGACCTTGGTGAGCGCGCCAAGGCCGGAGCCATCGGACGAGTTCTTGGCGCAGTTAAGGGCGTCGTTGAAGAGGCGGCGCGATGACGACGACGAGTCGCTGCGGAACGAGGTCACCTCCTTGCACGCATCGTCGAGGAGGAGGTTGAGGGCGACAAAGGCGGTCATGACGGCGGCGAGGATGAAGACCACGAACCAGTTGCAGTTGGCAAAGCAGATAAAGGCATGGCACTTGGTGATGCGGAAGAGCATAAAGAGGACGGCGACGACGGTGAGCACCATGGGGATGAGAAAGTAGATGTAGACAAAGATGTTGAGGATGGTCTTGATAGTGTCAAAAGCATCGTCGATGTCGTTGCCGCGCTTGACAATGTCGTTACCAGCTGTGACGGCCGGATCCATCTCTGCGGCGTTGTCTGAGGTGACCGAGACGCCGGCGATGCGGTTGCGGACGCGGACAACCGAGTTGCGCAGGTCAGCCGAGGCGACAACCATGTCGTCGGTCGTCTCGGTGGCGCCCTTCTGGAAGGTGCCGTTGCCGGCAAGGCCGATGACAGTAAAGATGCCAACGCCAACGGCACAGGCGAGGACAAAGAAGATGAGGACGCGGACCCACTTCACCGAGTAGTGCTTACGCGGCGAGCCATGGCGGCAGCCGAGCGTAGCGGTGGACCAGTTGGAGAACTTGGTGGCGCGACCACCAAAGCACGAGCAGCAGCAACGGAGAATGAGGAAGGTCGGAATGAGGAAGAGATGGATGAGGCCAATGAGAAGCACAATCAGCGCCCGCTCCACAATCCACGCAGCGTAGTCTTCCACAGCAAAGTCATCCTTCTCCTCGTCATAGCCGAGGAATCGGTCCGAGAGCGTGTTGCCGGTAATGAACGACTTGCGGCCGTCAACAACGAGGGCAAGGGCAACGACAACAAGAGTCACACACACAGCACTAGTACTCGTCAGCTTCATCTTGACGCGGGTGAACGCAGTAGACAGCTATGTGGAGACCGGTGTGAGGGGGCAGTGCGCCGGCTCGGCGTGGGTTTTGCGGGTCCCTTGTGGATCATAGCAGTTTTTTTGTCCAGGCAGGGAAGAGGGAGGGGTCGGAGATGATGTAGGGGAGAGGGAGGAGGAACGATGAAATAGAGATAAACATTATGGGAAGAGAGAAAGTTGGGAAGGAGAGCAGGGGGGGTGGGGGGAGCGGGGGGGTGGGGGGGGGGGGGGCGGAGGGAAGGAAGGAAAGATCGGAGGTGGGAAAAAGGAGGGTGTTTTTGTTCCATTTTTTCTGGTTTCGGTGCATGGCAGCCAGTGTCAACTGACGAGAGCGACGGTTGACGGTGATGGCAATAGTACGGTGGTAGAGTGTGGTAGTGGCAGGACAGCAGTAGCAGGATGGTGGTAGGTGGCATGAAGGAAGGCTGTAGTTTGATGATCGTTGCTGTTGCACGTTTGTCGCTTCGTACTATGTCGTTAGCTGTTCGTTGTTCGTTGTTCGTGGTTCGTTGTTCGTTGTTCGTTGTTCGTTGTTTGTTGTTCGTTGTTCGTTGTTCGTTGTTCGTTGTTCGTTGTTCGTTGTTCGCTGTTCGTTGTTCGCCGTCATGAGCCGTCCGTTGGTTCAGGCAATGGTCGACGGCGGGCGGGCGACGGGCGACGGCAACAGCTGGTCACTCAGCAAAGTGTAACGGGGCTACCCTACTCTCCCACTGTGAGGTACGCATATGTAAATGAAGAGCAGAGAAGCGCAAACACGACCGTGTGGGTTTAGTTGGGGTTTATGGGTGTGGAGGTCAAGACGAGTTCGACAAAGTCAAGCAGGCAAGGGAAAAAATGACGACATTGCGGCTCGGCCGAACGACGACCTGGAGAAGAGGAAGTGGGCGAGGAAGGAGGGAGGGAGGGGGGGAGGGGGGGAGGGGGGGGCGAAACAAGGTGCTTACCGAGAGAGTGTTGATGGTGGTGAATGATAAGTGAGCAGAAGAATCATGGCTGGTGGCGAGGGAAAGCGGAAGAAGCGGAGGAAGGTGAGCAAGAAGAAGTCGTCCGAGAGTGATGACGAGGTGAAGAACGTGTTCGAGACGGCCAAGAGCAAGAGCAAGGGGAAGGGGAAGGGGAAGGGGAAGAAGAAGGTGGTCGAAAAGACAAAGAAGACCAAGATCAAGAAGAAGACGAAGAAGATCCGCAAGGTCGCATCGGAAGACGGATCGGAGACAGAAGCTGACGGCAGCCGCAAGGGAAAGGGCAAGGGCAAGAGTCGCAAGGGCAAGGGCAAGGGCAAGGGCAAGAGCCGCAAGGGCAAGAGTCGCAAGGGCAAGGGCAAGGGCAAGGGCAAGCGGAAGAGTCACAAGGGCAAGAGCTCGGGATCGGGGTCGGGATCCGGATCGGGTGGCAGCTCCAGCTCTGTGACCCGGTTTGTGGACGTGGGCGAGGACGCGCTGAAGCCCAAGGTGCGGCGGCGCAAGTCGACGCAGCCGCCTGGAAGCGGGCGGTATGTCAGAGGGAGTCACAAGACCAAGGCCAAGTCGAAGCCGCACAAGTACGAGATGGTGGACATGGATCCCGCGGCGCTGGGGATGTACTCGGCGTATGACGATGGCTTCTACGCCGGCGAGTACGACGAGTACGGTGAGCGGGTGATGCGGCGGCGGAGCAGGCGGTCACGGTCGTCGCACGGCGGCAAGCACGGGCGGCACGGCAGGCACCACCGACGGCGCGGGGCGGCGGTGGGTGGGGTGGAGGAGATGCTTGACACGGATCCTGTGCCGTGGTACAAGGGCGAGAACCACGAGCTCATCGACCTCAAGCTCAAGAACATGAAGGACATGGACGCGCGGTACGTGCGGATCCAGAAGCGACGGATCGCGACGGCGGTCGAGCGGTGGCTCCTCTACCCATCCGACTCGCACGCCTTTGACTTTGTCGACGACGTCGTCGGGTACCACGGGATCGGGTATGTGCCCAAGGCGCGGGTCATCTCCAAGTTCCGCAAGTTCTTTGCCACCTCGTCTGACTTTGAGTACCTCAAGGTGGCGGATCTGGTCAAGGCCTTCCGCGCGGTCGACGTCGACGGTACCGGCCATCTTAACACCGGCAACGGCGAGCACATTGCGTTTTTCAAGGAGGCGCTCAAGATCCTGCTGGCACGGGTGGCAACTCGCGGCTCGGACCCGGGCTCGGGCGACGACGAGTCGTACGACGTCGTGCCGTATTCGGACGACGCCTCGCTCTCGGACGACTCGTCCGGCCTGTTTGGCGGTGAGGACGCCGGTCGCCGTGCCGCCACCTCTGTCTTTGCCTCGGACGCTTGCTCGTCGTCGGAGAACGTCTTTGACGCGCTCTCGTCATCCGACTCGATCCTCGAGTCGTCGTCGCTCTTTGACTACAACGATCCCGAGTCGGACGACTCGTCGTCGTCGTCGGGTGGCGGCCGCGGGCGCGGCCGTGGCCGTCGCCGCCGCGGCGGCTCATCATCGTCGACCTCGGACGTTTTTGCCAACCTCTCCGACTCGTCGTCCGAGTCGGGCGGCGACCGCCGCCGCCGTGGCCGCGCCCGTGCCGACTCGTCATCGAGCAGCGATGTGTTTGCCGATCTCTCGTCATCCTCGTAAACATGGAGTCGAGCAGGCTACGGTTGGCTACGGTGGAACAACTACGGTGAAGAGAGGGAGGGCATGTCTTGGCCGACGGTCCGGATGCGGCCCTCGACGCGGGTGTTGACGGCAAACTCGCGGTCCCAAAACGACTTGCGGCGCGCTTTCTCGTCGCTAGACTTGGTCGCCTCCTCGGAGTGGGCCCTCTCGAGGTTGCCGTGGAAGAAGCGCACCGCCTTGTGGAAGCATGTCTCTGCGTTGCGGAGAGCGGCAAGGGTGTTGAGCATGATAAAGTGGTTGCGGAGGGCGGTAGGGAGCATGACGCCGCACTCACCGTCGACGAGAACCTTGGCATCGGCAAACATGGTGAAACCGTCCTTGCCCGAGGCCAGGTACTCTTTGGTAGAGACGCGGTAGGAGGCATCGCTGTCTAGCGGGGTGGTGGAGCCGTCGGCGGCGACGACGTCGACCGAGACGATGCGGGCGCCTGGCACGGCGTCGGGATCAAAGACAAAGAGGATGCCCGAGACTTGCGGGAAGCGGCCCTCGTGGGTCGGGTACTTGGAGACGCCATTCTCAAGGGCGGCGCGGATCTGGGCGCCAGTGAGCTCGAGGACAACCATCATGTCCTCCATGGGCAGAATGGCTGTGATGTCGCGGACCCTGATCTCGCCCGGCCCGTAGGTGTCGTCGGAGCGGAGCGTGCCCGAGTTGAGGATGCAGATGTCCGAGTCCTGGGCAATCCGCACAATGTCGGTGACGAGATTGCCGAGGTTCGTCTCGCCGGTGCGGACGTGGGCGGCGCGGGCGTCGAGCTCGACAAGAGACGTGCCGACCACCTTGTCGAGCGTCTCGCCGAGCATGTCGCCGACGGCGGCAACAAGCGGGGCGACGTCGGGGTGCTCGTCGAGCTCGCCGGTGATAGCGATGTGCTCGACGGTGGCAAAGCCTGGCTTGCCGGCGAGCCCCATGTCGAGGGTGATGCCGGCGAGATCGCGAAAGTCGGTGCCGGACTTGCAGATTCGGGTGGTCCACCCCGAGCCGTCGGCGGCGGCGACCTCGGAAGTCTTGAAAAAGTGGTCGTGCCCGCCAAGAATGAGGTCGATGCCTGCGCACTCGCGGGCGAGGCGCTCGTCGTTGTTCTCGCGCATGTGGGTGAGCGCAATGACAAGATCGACGCCCTCGTCGTTGCGAAGACGCGAAACGAGCTCGGTAGCCTTCTCCACAAAGTCGCTGTACACCACGTCGTCGTTATCAAGGGTGGCAAGGGTGTCGAGCCACTCGATTTCGACCAGGCCAAGCAGCCCGACCTTGATGCCGGCCCACTCGATGACCAGGTAGCGATGAGCGCCGAGCAGCGGCTCGCCGTCATCGGGAGAATCGACATTTGAGCAGATCCAAGGAAAGTTTGTCCGCGAGAGCAAGGTAGCCAGGCGCTCTGTCCCGAAATCAAAGTCATGATTGCCATAGCAAGCAGCAGCAATGTTAAACTGGTTGAGAATGGCCGGCATGTGGGCACCCTTGGTAATGGTTGAATCAATCGAAGGTGCAAAAGCATCACCTGAAAACAGAACAAGAGCCTCTGGCTCGCTTGCAAGGGCAGAGGCAAACCGAGCTGCTCCTCCCATGGGTTCCTTTTCCCGGGGGAGGACGTGGTACACGTCGTTAAAGTGCAGGATCCGCGGAAGGGGAGAGGCTGACATTGGGATGGGTGAGGTGAGGTGCGGGGGGGGGGGGGGAGGCGGGGGGAGGGCGGGCCGGGGAGGGGGGAGGGGGGGCGGTTGGCTGACGGTGGGGTGAGGGCAGGTCAGGTCAGTGGGGGACAGGGGGAGAGGGGAGAAGGGAGGGGGGGGGGGGGGATCGAGGACGGGTAGGGGGGGTAGGGGAGA